AGTCCTTGAAGTAACATTACAACCTTTTTTAAGTGTTTTCCAAGTGCATTTATCTGAGGCGTTGGGCGATCTTTTCAGAATGGAAAGGGTCGAATTTTTGTGGGTGTGCGCTTTACACGCACATAATCCTCAACTGGGGACGCATCTGAATCCGTATCAACATCCGCATTCGCATACGATTCCGACTCCGAATCTTATATCAGATTTGTCGCTATCGCCATCGCCATCGCCCAACGCCCAACGCCCAACGACGACGACGACGACCGGCGCCGTGGTCTAAACGATTGATGGCACTCGTCGACATCGTCTGCCCTGTCAAAAATCCTCATCCACATCCACATAGATGGTGGAAGAACCCCCCTCCCAGTGGGAATTTTGGAAAGTGTGCAAAGGGGTTTTCTGGTGAGGAAATGATAAATTGCGCATTTGGGAGTTTTAAAGGTCAATTTAGGGGTTAGTCTCACACTCGCACGATTTCGAAACAAACTGACTGACAGATGAAGGGATAGATGAAAGCTTGGACAGACTTCCTATACAAAAGGTGGCCAAATTGGGGTTTATAAATATAGCTAAATGGTTAGGGTAATAAAGGAAAGGCTTACGAGAAGATAGTTTTTCATATTTCTGTTGGTTTAAACTAGAAATTACTTTGCGATCTACTACCATTTTCCTTTGAATAATAATCATAGCCCATAACTTCCTAGTAACCCTAACTCCTAGCTATATACTCTGCCTAAAACAAGCCAGATATATCTATAAACCAGCTAGAAGGACAGTCCCATAAAAAAAAGCAGACAAGGACATTCATCCTTCCATAAACAGCGACACTTCAAAGTTAACTCGCCCAATAAAAAGTCGATGTACGCATACGACTTACAGGGTTGCACTTCAGCGGGTTAACCCTTCAGATCCCGATTCGGATTCAGATTCAGATTCAGATTCACATTCGAGTAGGACTCGGAGTGCCGACACTCCGGGTGGTTAAACTCCGGGTAACTGCGTCAACCGAATTTGCTTATGGGATTTGTCTAGTGCGCCTGTTGACTTGCCAGTTGGCGTTTATATTAATGGCCCAGGTCTTTCTCGGGCTCGTTTTGAGTCCTCAACTCAACTCTGTATGTTTCTTTTTTTGTCCTCCGATTGTTAGGGATCGTTGGGTAAGGGACGCGTGCCCGCTTTTTTACGGTCCCCAGCTAGGGTTTCCATTTAGGGTGGGCTTCGTTTTTATACTTTTGGCTTGATGTGTGCCATACAAGGTGCCTAAATGGGCAGGTAAATCATAACTGTAACGATGATGACAGACAGTTTGTGAGGGGAAAAAGTCGGCGAGGCAAGGGTTGATCATTTCCCATGACCAATTAAGTTTGTTACGAAAATATTAGTAAAGCAAATTCAAAATTAGCTAAGAATCTGTTAAAAAATAAAGCTTGAATTTTAAACTTTCCCAAATTCAAAAGCAACTTCTTTACAATTTCCCTAATTTATTTGACATCTGAATAATAACAGATTTTAAGCATTTAACAATCGCTGTCTGGTCGCAGCATTCTTTAGTTCCCAGCCACGCCCATTTGGACAACCCACTCGCCCACCAGCGTCAAATCCCCTTAATTTGTTTATCAATCTGGAATTGGCTTGCAAATGACATCTACGGCCTGCCTCTAAGAGAACCCCTTTTCCCTTTTCTCTTTTCCCTATTCATCATGTTCCCAAGCAAGTGCCACGCCCATAGCCAAAACCTAGTCATATTCCGCCCTCATAACCGTGACATTGAACGGAAACGTAGACTTCGCGCCGGAAGGAAGCAGCACTGTGAGAAAATGTTACTTTTGCAGATACTTTTACTGATCTTTGGATATAGGAGTATATAGCAGATAGCTATACAATTTTCCTCTGTGCAACCTTAGTGTCTGGGGTTTTTTTGGTCTGGTCTGGTCTGGCATGGCTTGAGGCACGTGTAAAAGTTTGTAGCTCCGGTCACGTGACCGCACGTGTCCCGCCAGTCGTCCATCCAAAAAACCCAAGCCAACACCCCCGATAAGGAGTACGCCCAGTCGAAAATTCAGCAACTGGGCCGCCGTGATAAGCGCAACCTGACAACTCGGAACGCGTGTTCCTGAGGAGATGTCAAAGACCAGGTTCTGGATTTCTGGATATCCGCCTGCCTATCTCTATATATGCATCTGGGATGAAAAGGACCCCAGAGGTGGGCACTGGAACTGGTCCAACCTCCCATCAATGATGGTTTTGTTAGCGTAAATATCTTAATTCACCGCTTCGCCGCCCCCGACACGCGTGAATCGTGTGCATTTGACATGAGAATCGCTTTCCGCTTTCCGTTTTCCCACTTTTTGGTTTTCACTTTTTTTTTTTTTTTTTTGTTTTTGCTTTTTCCTTTAAAGCGGAAAAGTGCGTTGAAAAAGAATTACGCTCACAACGGTACTTAACGAGCTTACAATTAATGTATAATCCTGTCTTTGGGAGTTGCTATGAATATATCCTTATATAAGGATTTTGGGAAGGTAACGTGGGAAGTTATGAGGGATCTATGGGCTTGGTGTTGGTTGTTATAGATTTATCATGTAACTAGTATATATAATATATATATAATGGCTAACTAAATATGCTTTAATAGTCATTGGAATCAATCACTTTTAAAAGGTTTTGAAACAAAGCAATTTTTACATATTTCTTTCAGAATTTTAGGTCTTAAAGGAAGGTCTGGCAAAGGAATTAAAACCAAACATTTCGAAAATAGCTAAAAAATCGAAAACTAGAATAAGTATAAATAAATAATTAAAATGGAAAATGGTATTAAAATATATAGTTTTTGGATTATAGACTTTACTAACATAATATATTATTCAAATGAAAGACAAATCTTCTTCTATATAAACATCATAAAACAAAGCTCTTCGATTCATTGCTATATCTTTTGTAATGAAAAAAATACTTATTTTATAAAGAAAGTCAGCAATGTGTACTATTACTTTCTTCATATTACATATTAATCTTTAAATTTCTAGTGGAATTCTAGCTTAATCTTCCTTCCCAGCTTGTTACCATTTAAATTCTTTTACACTCAATATAAAAAAATCTTAGAAAAAATCAAAATTAGCCACAAATGCAATCCATAATCATTTATAAATTATACCTTTGCAAAACTAAACACTTCATTGGAAATTTGTAAGTCTTATTGTTTGACAACTAATATTTAGCACACAAAAACCTTGACCTGCCCTCCCCCCTTAGAAATATTTAAACGAGGAAAAAACTTCTCTGCCACCCCCTAGCTGTATTCATTCAAAACAGTCACACACATGTGCCCACCGCAATCACATTTTCCATTTCCCCATTTCCATTCACATTCTGCTGAAACACCCCTCGCCGTTCGGGCCAGGCAGTTAAGTTTCAAATTACAAACCCAATTGATGCTAGTTAAAAAATCTGTGCAGGTTTTGCGTTACCATTTGGGTTCATCTTTACTTTCAACCCCGAACCGAGAACGGAGATTTTTGTTTTGATGCACTCGTGACAAGTCCGATTAGGTCAGCCCTACACCACCGATCCGATCCGATACGATCCCTTACCATCCAAATCCCATGCAAACCCTTACCATCTACCATCTACCTCCCATCCACCCATTGTTGTGGATAGTGTCAACACAACCATCTATTTTATGCATAATTTGGCGTGCCAAAATGCGCGACTCATCAAAATGGTGTCATATGTTTTTATCGAGGGAAAGCCAAAAAGGGAAAAAAGAAAGGATGTTTGCCCTGTTGTCTGCCGCCTGCGGTTTTCTATTCAAAAAAAAGGTGTAACCGGTTTGCTAAACTAACCTTTTCAAATAAAACAAACATATGGTTTCAAAAATATAACACAACCTTTAAATCAAGAACTTTTTAATCTTAAAACTAAGAAAAATTAGAAAGGAAAAAGTTGAAGTTTTTTAATATTGATTTAATTTTAATATTTTAGGAATCTTCTTAAAATAAAAACATGCTTTAAAGTACCAACAAATGTTAATTTTTCATATCAATTTATTTTATATATTTAATATTTAAGTAGATATTTCCTAAAATCAAATACTTGTTAAAAATTTGTTTTATTATCTTAACAATTCAATTTTATTTTACATATTTTATTTGACAGGATTGGCAAGCAAAAAGTAAAAAGCATACGCCTGGTTAATGTACTCGCTAAGCGTCCTGAACTTAACGAATCCTGCACTAAAAATACATTGAGCTGTGCCTTGGCTAGGTCTAAAAAACGTTTCAACTTTTAACGAAGCATGCAAAGATTTTAGTTGAGATTTAAACCAACTTGGCAAATATTTACTGATTTTAAAAATAATTAAATTAATAAGGCCTAGGAAAACGAAGAAGAATGTGTGTACCCTCGTACCTATACAAGTGGATCTATAGATGAATAATGTTAAAATTGGTATGTGTAACCCTGCACTCCTTTCACTTGTCTTAGCTACTTAGAACTAAGCTCGTTTCTTATTATATTAAAATTAAATATAGTTTTTGGTAATCTACATATATGCACCTACCTTATTGCTGCAGGTTCGGATTGTTGGTCCTTCTTGACTTTATCCTGATAGTCCGACGTCCAACAAGTATAGGTATGTCTATCATCTCAGCTCCTTTCATGTTACACTTTCATTTTCACACACTAGATCCGACAAAGCGAATTCAGTTAGATTGGAAAATTAATGAATAGACTCGTGCAATTAATACAAAGTTAATTTAATTTTTAACAGGTTGCCCAAAAGTATTGGATTTTATTCATATAAATAGAATATTATTCAAGAATATTCCTTATAAGCAGTACAAAGTTATAGAATTTAGCCAATAAAACAGTAAACATTTAAGTTACTTTACGTTTGGCAAAATCAAAATATTTACATTTAACATTTTATCGTAAAAGTTAAAAAAAAAAGAAGTTTTAAGGCTAATTTTGTACATGCTATATATTATTAGATATACAAAACTTCAAGGTTCAAGGTAATTCTTAATGGCTTTACTATATTAAAGATCTTAAAAAAGCGAAATAGTCTTATTTCTTCCGCTCGTAACGGAATTTGTAAACTGGCGCACTATCCTTGGTTCCGGGTTTAATTTTCTTCGGCTTGAGAAGACGCGGCTGTTTGAGTACATTCTTCAGCTGAATCTTCTGCTGAACGATGCCGAGCTCCTTTTCGCGCTGTTCTCGTTTCTTCAGCTCGTTTTTGCGCTGCTGCTTGGCGGAGTTTGGAGGTAAGGGTGTTTGCTGAAAAGGAAAGTCAAATTAATAAAATATTCAATAGAATTGTTAAAAATAATGTATGTAGGTGTTTTGGGTCTTTTAGCACCAATAGGACTATGATCATGATAGGATACAATTTGGGAAACAAATCTGATTGCTGCTCACCCTTTAAAACACCTACATATACTATTATAACAAAGTATTGGATCACAACAGAGTGACACTAAAACAATGTCCACTTACCGGCTTTTCCTCCGCTTCTTGCAGTCGTTCACCCAGCGGGGCCGCCAGCCTTCGACCCTCTTCGTCGAAGGTGAACCGCTGATTGCTGGCTCCTGCAGTCCCATCCACATCCACCATCGTGACCTTCAGACGGTCGATTTTCTTGCGTTCAATTGTGCGCTTCATGACCACATACTTAAGGTCTTGCGTTTCCATTAGAGCCAGCTGCTCAGGTGTGTGCTCATCCTTCTTATCATTCTCGCGATGCTCGTCGTTGGACAACTTGGAGTTGATCATGTGGTGGTAAAACTCATCAGGATTTTTATTTTGTGCACGACGATATAATAACTTTAGCGTCTTTTGTTTCTTTTGGGCATCGATGGCACGCTTCTTGTAGTCCTTCTTCTTCTCCAGAAATCCCAAGTGCTGCCGCGACTCCGGCTGGTGCCGCTCCCGGTGCACCTTCTGGTTACTTTTTGATGCCTTCTTCCACGATGACATCTTAATGTACTATTTCTTACAAATTTGTTTGTTTTCTTAGGTTTTTAAGAACTCAAAAAAACGTGCGCGTCAATTTGAATTGGAGATGGTTCTTAAGCGATTATCACACATCGATATTCTACAATACAATTATATACTTTGAACCTGTCCATGGCTATATCGATAGATTTTAAATAAACTATTAAGAAACAAATAAATTAAATGAAAATTGTATTTCTCCATCTTATTAACACATTTAAATACTATTAACTAGCAATAACTAAAAAAATTCAAATTGTAAGCCGGGCCAAGGCTAATTATCTAAATGAAAACTAAATTAAATATTTGATGAGTTGTGTCTTGGCTAGGTATAGCTTCCATTCAAAATTTAACGGATCCATGTAAAAATACAATGGAATAATTTATTCTTTTTAAATTTGTATGATTTAAAATTTTATAGTATCGTATACCTTACTACATAATATGCCCTATAACCTCCCGAGATCACAGCGGTCGTACAATGATAGGTAGTACTGGCTACTTAATACTAAGAACTTTTCTTAATAATAATAAATCATGTACATATATGTATATAATATATATAGAAATTAAAAAAGCACTTACCTTATTACTGATGATTTGAATAGAGTTGACTCTTCATATTTTATCTGGATTGTAAACTGTTCTTCTTCCTTTCCAGTTTTTCCATAATTCACTTTTATTTACACTTGATTCGACGAAGCGAATTAAGATTGAAAAATTAAGGAATAGACTTGTACAATAAATACACAGTTCATTTGGTTTTTAATAATTAGCCCAAAAATATTGGCTTTTATTCAAACAAATATATTAATTTTTAACAATATTCCTTATCAGGGAACACAGTTATAGAAACTAGCCAATTAAGATTATTTTATAATTGTAAACAATTTTAAATTTCTTTACTTCTGGCAAAATATCAAGATATTTATATTTAAAATCTTAACGTGAAGTTAAAAATAAAGATTAAAGGCAAGTTTACCTGTTTACAATTACATGTTTAAACTTATAAAGGCATATCAGGGTTAGTAAACAATTTTCTTTAAGGTACAAGTAAAACATAATCTATTTACTATATTAAACAGCAAAATTCGGCAAAGTAATCTTATTTCTTTCGCTCGGAATCTTTACACATTCACTATCCTTTGTTTTGGTGTTTGCTGAAAAAAAAGAGATTCATATTAATATAATATTTAAAATAAATTGTTGAAGCTAATATATGTACATAGGTATTTATGTGATTCTAGTAACAAGAAGGTAATACTATCCCATTAGAAAAACAACTTGAAAATAGTTTCATTATGTTAACTTTTAAAGTTTTAGAAGGGAACTTCCTCTTTATAATTCTTATTAGGTGACACGAATCGATGAGGAGGGTATTTCTAATAAGATTTTAATGTAACTGAAGTCATATCTGATTAACACTTGTCCTAAGATCACATTGAATCTTGAAATTCGTTTGGATGACGTGGCCTTAAAAATTCACTACATTGCTGTTTACTCATAAAAATACTTATTTGAACTGTTATAAATAACATTAGAATCGTTACTGGGTGTCACTAAACTGCTGCCAACTTACCGGCAATTCATCCGCTTCCTGCAGTTGTGTGAGTTCCCTGAAACTCCGACTATCGACGCTCCCGGTGCAGTTTCTTGTTCCTCTTCAATCTCTTCTTTCACTAGGACACCTTTATGTATTATTTTTCACGTCGCGGATGTTTAATTTTTATTTAATTTAATTTATTTCTTTAATTTTGAAGAGCTCACAGAATTCGCGCGCGTCATTGTAAATAAGCGATGGGAACTGAGGCGATAGTCCCACATCGATACTCAAGAAAAGCACTCGATAGTAAGCGATAGTATACGATATTAGAAGATAGTCTGCAATAGTATACAAAAGCGATACATCGATTAGACAACTCAGAAAGCGATAGAGCAATATCGACACGTGAACATATATCGATATCGGATTATATCCAACCATGATATACCATCGCCCAATAACGATAGATGTTCACATATCGATAATCCACTATAGCTTTCTGATATGTTCAATCGATATATCGTTATTGGACACTATCATCGACTATCGCATACTATCTTCTAATATCGAGTATTGTTCTTGAATATCGATGTCGGATTATCGTCTCAGTTCCCATCGCTTGTTTACAATGACGCGCGCGAATTCTGTGAGCTCTTCAAAATTAAAGAAATAAATTAAATTAAATAAAAATTAAACATCCGCGACGTGAAAAATAATACATAAAGGTGTCCTAGTGAAAGAAGAGATTGAAGAGGAACAAGAAACTGCACCGGGAGCGTCGATAGTCGGAGTTTCAGGGAACTCACACAACTGCAGGAAGCGGATGAATTGCCGGTAAGTTGGCAGCAGTTTAGTGACACCCAGTAACGATTCTAATGTTATTTATAACAGTTCAAATAAGTATTTTTATGAGTAAACAGCAATGTAGTGAATTTTTAAGGCCACGTCATCCAAACGAATTTCAAGATTCAATGTGATCTTAGGACAAGTGTTAATCAGATATGACTTCAGTTACATTAAAATCTTATTAGAAATACCCTCCTCATCGATTCGTGTCACCTAATAAGAATTATAAAGAGGAAGTTCCCTTCTAAAACTTTAAAAGTTAACATAATGAAACTATTTTCAAGTTGTTTTTCTAATGGGATAGTATTACCTTCTTGTTACTAGAATCACATAAATACCTATGTACATATATTAGCTTCAACAATTTATTTTAAATATTATATTAATATGAATCTCTTTTTTTTTCAGCAAACACCAAAACAAAGGATAGTGAATGTGTAAAGATTCCGAGCGAAAGAAATAAGATTACTTTGCCGAATTTTGCTGTTTAATATAGTAAATAGATTATGTTTTACTTGTACCTTAAAGAAAATTGTTTACTAACCCTGATATGCCTTTATAAGTTTAAACATGTAATTGTAAACAGGTAAACTTGCCTTTAATCTTTATTTTTAACTTCACGTTAAGATTTTAAATATAAATATCTTGATATTTTGCCAGAAGTAAAGAAATTTAAAATTGTTTACAATTATAAAATAATCTTAATTGGCTAGTTTCTATAACTGTGTTCCCTGATAAGGAATATTGTTAAAAATTGATATATTTGTTTGAATAAAAGCCAATATTTTTGGGCTAATTATTAAAAACGAAATGAACTGTGTATTTATTGTACAAGTCTATTCCTTAATTTTTCAATCTTAATTCGCTTCGTCGAATCAAGTGTAAATAAAAGTGAATTATGGAAAAACTGGAAAGGAAGAAGAACAGTTTACAATTCAGCTTTAATATGAAGAGTCAACTCTATTCAAATCAGTAATAAGGTAAGTGCTTTTTTAATTTCTATATATTATATTTGTATATATGCACATGATTTATTAATTTTAAGAAACGATCTTATTGTTAAGTAGCTATTATTACTTAGCGTTGTACGTCCGTCCGTTCGTTTGTTTGTCAGTCTTTTTAAACGCGTTGATATCCGGAACTATAATGGCTAAAAAGTTGCGATTTGATATGCGAGTGGTATATATTGGCTCGAGTTCTATTACAAGTTAACTCAAAATTAATAATTTATTAATTTGATAGAGGTTATTAATGAAAGAAAAGATCATACACCATTTAAACTTTCAAAATTATAAAAATTAAAAGAATATAATAATTCTTGTTCCTTTTCGATCCCTTCTTCCACGAGGACATCTTTATGTATTATTTTTCTCGTCGCGGATGTTTAATTTTTACTTAATTTAATTTATTTCTTTAATTTTGAAGAGTTCACAGAATTCGCGCGTCATTGTAAACAAGCGATGGGAACTGATACGATAATCCGACATCGATATATACTCGATATTAGAAGATAGTATGCGATAGTCGATGATAGTATCCAATAACGATATATCGATTGGACATATCAGAAAGCTATAGTGGAATATCGATATAGGGCGGTAGTATATCATAGTTGGATATACATCCGATATCGATATATGTTCACGTGTCGATATTGCACTATCGCTTTCTGCGTTGTCTAATCGATGTATCGCTTTTGTATACTATTGCATACTATCTTCTAATATCGTATACTATCGCTTACTATCGAGTGCTTTTCTTGAGTATCGATGTGGGACTATCGCCTCAGTTCCCATCGCTTATTTACAATGACGCGCGCGAATTCTGTGAGCTCTTCAAAATTAAAGAAATAAATTAAATTAAATAAAAATTAAACATCCGTGACGTGAAAAATAATACATAAAGGTGTCCTAGTGAAAGAAGAGATCGAAGAGGAACAAGAAACTGCACCGGGAGCGTCGATAGTCGGAGTTTCAGGGAACTCACACAACTGCAGGAAGCGGATGAATTGCCGGTAAGTTGGCAGCAGTTTAGTGACACCCAGTAACGATTCTAATGTTATTTATAACAGTTCAAATAAGTATTTTTATGAGTAAACAGCAATGTAGTGAATTTTTAAGGCCACGTCATCCAAACGAATTTCAAGATTCAATGTGATCTTAGGACAAGTGTTAATCAGATATGACTTCAGTTACATTAAAATCTTATTAGAAATACCCTCCTCATCCATTCGTGTCACCTAATAAGAATTATAAAGAGGAAGTTCCCTTCTAAAACTTTAAAAGTTAACATAATGAAACTATTTTCAAGTTGTTTTTCTAATGGGATAGTATTACCTTCTTGTTACTAGAATCACATAAATACCTATGTACATATATTAGCTTCAACAATTTATTTTAAATATTATATTAATATGAATCTCTTTTTTTCAGCAAACACCAAAACAAAGGATAGTGAATGTGTAAAGATTCCGAGCGAAAGAAATAAGATTACTTTGCCGAATTTTGCTGTTTAATATAGTAAATAGATTATGTTTTACTTGTACCTTAAAGAAAATTGTTTACTAACCCTGATATGCCTTTATAAGTTTAAACATGTAATTGTAAACAGGTAAACTTGCCTTTAATTTTTATTTGTAACTTCACGTTAAGATTTTAAATATAAATATCTTGATATTTTGCCAGAAGTAAAGAAATTTAAAATTGTTTACAATTATAAAATAATCTTAATTGGCTAGTTTCTATAACTGTGTTCCCTGATAAGGAATATTGTTAAAAATTGATATATTTGTTTGAATAAAAGCCAATATTTTTGGGCTAATTATTAAAAACGAAATGAACTGTGTATTTATTGTACAAGTCTATTCCTTAATTTTTCAATCTTAATTCGCTTCGTCGAATCAAGTGTAAATAAAAGTGAATTATGGAAAAACTGGAAAGGAAGAAGAACAGTTTACAATTCAGCTTTAATATGAAGAGTCAACTCTATTCAAATCAGTAATAAGGTAAGTGCTTTTTTAATTTCTATATATTATATTTGTATATATGCACATGATTTATTAATTTTAAGAAACGATCTTATTGTTAAGTAGCTATTATTACTTAGCGTTGTACGTCCGTCCGTTCGTTTGTTTGTCAGTCTTTTTAAACGCGTTGATATCCGGAACTATAATGGCTAAAAAGTTGCGATTTGATATGCGAGTGGTATATATTGGCTCGAGTTCTATTACAAGTTAACTCAAAATTAATAATTTATTAATTTGATAGAGGTTATTAATGAAAGAAAAGATCATACACCATTTAAACTTTCAAAATTATAAAAATTAAAAGAATATAATAATTCTTGTTCCTTTTCGATCCCTTCTCCCACGAGGACATCTTTATGTATTATTTTCACGTCGCGGATGTTTAATTTTTACTTAATTTAATTTAGTTCTTTAATTTTGAAGAGTTCACAGAATTCGCGCGTCATTGTAAACAAGCGATGGGAACTGATACGATAATCCGACATCGATATATACTCGATATTAGAAGATAGTATGCGATAGTCGATGATAGTATCCAATAACGATATATCGATTGGACATATCAGAAAGCTATAGTGGAATATCGATATAGGGCGGTAGTATATCATAGTTGGATATACATCCGATATCGATATATGTTCACGTGTCGATATTGCACTATCGCTTTCTGCGTTGTCTAATCGATGTATCGCTTTTTGTATACTATTGCATACTATCTTCTAATATCGTATACTATCGCTTACTATCGAGTGCTTTTCTTGAGTATCGATGTGGGACTATCGCCTCAGTTCCCATCGCTTATTTACAATGACGCGCGCGAATTCTGTGAGCTCTTCAAAATTAAAGAAATAAATTAAATTAAATAAAAATTAAACATCCGTGACGTGAAAAATAATACATAAAGGTGTCCTAGTGAAAGAAGAGATCGAAGAGGAACAAGAAACTGCACCGGGAGCGTCGATAGTCGGAGTTTCAGGGAACTCACACAACTGCAGGAAGCGGATGAATTGCCGGTAAGTTGGCAGCAGTTTAGTGACACCCAGTAACGATTCTAATGTTATTTATAACAGTTCAAATAAGTATTTTTATGAGTAAACAGCAATGTAGTGAATTTTTAAGGCCACGTCATCCAAACGAATTTCAAGATTCAATGTGATCTTAGGACAAGTGTTAATCAGATATGACTTCAGTTACATTAAAATCTTATTAGAAATACCCTCCTCATCCATTCGTGTCACCTAATAAGAATTATAAAGAGGAAGTTCCCTTCTAAAACTTTAAAAGTTAACATAATGAAACTATTTTCAAGTTGTTTTTCTAATGGGATAGTATTACCTTCTTGTTACTAGAATCACATAAATACCTATGTACATATATTAGCTTCAACAATTTATTTTAAATATTATATTAATATGAATCTCTTTTTTTTCAGCAAACACCAAAACAAAGGATAGTGAATGTGTAAAGATTCCGAGCGAAAGAAATAAGATTACTTTGCCGAATTTTGCTGTTTAATATAGTAAATAGATTATGTTTTACTTGTACCTTAAAGAAAATTGTTTACTAACCCTGATATGCCTTTATAAGTTTAAACATGTAATTGTAAACAGGTAAACTTGCCTTTAATTTTTATTTGTAACTTCACGTTAAGATTTTAAATATAAATATCTTGATATTTTGCCAGAAGTAAAGAAATTTAAAATTGTTTACAATTATAAAATAATCTTAATTGGCTAGTTTCTATAACTGTGTTCCCTGATAAGGAATATTGTTAAAAATTGATATATTTGTTTGAATAAAAGCCAATATTTTTGGGCTAATTATTAAAAACGAAATGAACTGTGTATTTATTGTACAAGTCTATTCCTTAATTTTTCAATCTTAATTCGCTTCGTCGAATCAAGTGTAAATAAAAGTGAATTATGGAAAAACTGGAAAGGAAGAAGAACAGTTTACAATTCAGCTTTAATATGAAGAGTCAACTCTATTCAAATCAGTAATAAGGTAAGTGCTTTTTTAATTTCTATATATTATATTTGTATATATGCACATGATTTATTAATTTTAAGAAACGATCTTATTGTTAAGTAGCTATTATTACTTAGCGTTGTACGTCCGTCCGTTCGTTTGTTTGTCAGTCTTTTTAAACGCGTTGATATCCGGAACTATAATGGCTAAAAAGTTGCGATTTGATATGCGAGTGGTATATATTGGCTCGAGTTCTATTACAAGTTAACTCAAAATTAATAATTTATTAATTTGATAGAGGTTATTAATGAAAGAAAAGATCATACACCATTTAAACTTTCAAAATTATAAAAATTAAAAGAATATAATAATTCTTGTTCCTTTTCGATCCCTTCTCCCACGAGGACATCTTTATGTATTATTTTTCACGTCGCGGATGTTTAATTTTTACTTAATTTAATTTAGTTCTTTAATTTTGAAGAGTTCACAGAATTCGCGCGTCATTGTAAACAAGCGATGGGAACTGATACGATAATCCGACATCGATATATACTCGATATTAGAAGATAGTATGCGATAGTCGATGATAGTATCCAATAACGATATATCGATTGGACATATCAGAAAGCTATAGTGGAATATCGATATAGGGCGGTAGTATATCATAGTTGGATATACATCCGATATCGATATATGTTCACGTGTCGATATTGCACTATCGCTTTCTGCGTTGTCTAATCGATGTATCGCTTTTGTATACTATTGCATACTATCTTCTAATATCGTATACTATCGCTTACTATCGAGTGCTTTTCTTGAGTATCGATGTGGGACTATCGCCTCAGTTCCCATCGCTTATTTACAATGACGCGCGCGAATTCTGTGAGCTCTTCAAAATTAAAGAAATAAATTAAATTAAATAAAAATTAAACATCCGTGACGTGAAAAATAATACATAAAGGTGTCCTAGTGAAAGAAGAGATCGAAGAGGAACAAGAAACTGCACCGGGAGCGTCGATAGTCGGAGTTTCAGGGAACTCACACAACTGCAGGAAGCGGATGAATTGCCGGTAAGTTGGCAGCAGTTTAGTGACACCCAGTAACGATTCTAATGTTATTTATAACAGTTCAAATAAGTATTTTTATGAGTAAACAGCAATGTAGTGAATTTTTAAGGCCACGTCATCCAAACGAATTTCAAGATTCAATGTGATCTTAGGACAAGTGTTAATCAGATATGACTTCAGTTACATTAAAATCTTATTAGAAATACCCTCCTCATCCATTCGTGTCACCTAATAAGAATTATAAAGAGGAAGTTCCCTTCTAAAACTTTAAAAGTTAACATAATGAAACTATTTTCAAGTTGTTTTTCTAATGGGATAGTATTACCTTCATACATATATTAGCTTCAACAATTTATTTTAAATATTATATTAATATGAATCTCTTTTTTTTCAGCAAACACCAAAACAAAGGATAGTGAATGTGTAAAGATTCCGAGCGAAAAAATAAGATTACTTTGCCGAATTTTGCTGTTTAATATAGTAAATAGATTATGTTTTACTTGTACCTTAAAGAAAATTGTTTACTAACCCTGATATGCCTTTATAAGTTTAAACATGTAATTGTAAACAGGTAAACTTGCCTTTAATCTTTATTTTTAACTTCACGTTAAGATTTTAAATATAAATATCTTGATATTTTGCCAGAAGTAAAGAAATTTAAAATTGTTTACAATTATAAAATAATCTCAATTGGCTAGTTTCTATAACTGTGTACCCCTGATGGGGAATATTGTTAAAAATTAATATATTTGTTTGAATAAAAGCCAATATTTTTGGGCGAATTATTAAAAACCAAATGAACTGTGTATTTATTGTACAAGTCTATTCCTTAATTTTTCAATCTTAATTCGCTTCGTCGAATCAAGTGTAAATAAAAGTGAATTATGGAAAAACTGGAAAGGAAGAAGAACAGTTTACAATTCAGCTTTAATATGAAGAGTCAACTCTATTCAAATCAGTAATAAGGTAAGTGCTTTTTTAATTTCTATATATTATATTTGTATGTATGCCCATGATTTATTAATTTTAAGAAACGATCTTATTGTTAAGTAGCTATTATTACTTAGCGTTGTACGTCCGTCCGTTCGTTTGTTTGTCTGTCTTTTTAAACGCGTTGATATCCGAAACTTTGATGGCTAAAAAGTTGCGATTTGATATGCGAATGGTATATATTGGCCCGAGTTTATTACAAGTTAACTCAAAATTAATAATTTATTAATTTGATAGAGGTTTCATTAATGAAAGAAAAGATCATACACCATTTAAACTTTCAAAATTATATAAATTAAAAGAATATAATATCATTAAAGTCTTTTTCAACATGGATCCATTAAAATTTTGAATGGAAGCTATACCTAGCCAAGACACAACCCACCATATATCTAGTGCAGGTTTCATTAAGTTAATTCAATGCATTAGCTTACGAATATCATGTTTTTATTTATTGCTTGTGATTTTCGTCGAATTTAATTTTATATTATTAAATAAATTAGTTTACTTTTAATTTATTTTGTTTGTTTTATTTGGTGTTTAAGATATTATTTAAAATCCATCGATAGAGCCATCGACAGATTCAATGTATATAAATCGCAACTATCGCCTGATAAACCATCTCTAAGCCGCACACGTGCATTTATTTAAACGGTATTGCCGTTTTCTATTATTTACTTCGGAAAATTGAAGTTTTTAAGTGAAAAGTGCAACAAAAACCTCCGGCAGAATGGTGAAAAAGAAAATAGACAACCGGATACGTGTTATGATCGAGAATGGAGTCAAGCTGGGCCACCGGACCATGTTCATCGTGATTGGTGACAAGGCGCGCGACCAGGTTCCTATCCTCTACGACATACTGACCAAGTCGACAGTCAAGGCGCGACCCACAGTTCTCTGGTGCTACAAGAACAAGGATGAGGCTATATCTAAGTGGGTTAAATATTAATATTCTAAAGTTCTTAAAGTAAAGTTTAACTTCAACTTAGTCATGGCAAAAAGCGAGCAAAAAAGATCGCCGTGGGAAAAGTGGATGTAAACGAGGCGGATTTGTTTGATTCCTTCCGAGTGGCTACCACCATACATGGCAGATACTACTCTGAGACACATGCTGTCCTTGGACGAACCTACGGCGTTTGTGTGTTGCAGGATTTTGAGGCCCTAACGCCAAATCTTCTAGCTCGAACTGTTGAAACAGTCGAGGGCGGTGGTTTGATAATCCTGCTGCTGAAAACGATGCAGTCCCTAAAGCAGCTGTACACCATGAGCATGGATGTGCACAAACGTTTTCGCACGGAAGCCCATCAGACAGTGACCTGCCGGTTTAACGAACGTTTGATTCTCTCACTAGCTGATTGTAAGCGTTGTTTAGTAGTCAATGACGACCTTACAGTGCTGCCCCTCAGCTCCAAAACCATCAATGTGGAGCCAGTGAATGTAAGCTTGAGTTTGATATGCTTTTATCCGTGTTAATTACAATTTTTGGAACTCTTCAGCCCGCCGGCGCTGGAAAATCGCCCAACGAAGAAAGCCTGAAGGAACTTAAGGAAAGCCTATTAAATGTACAGCCAGCCGGAGCTCTAGTTAATCTCTGCAAGACATATGATCAGGCCAATGCCGTTGCGCAGTTTATTGAAGCGCTAGTTGATAAGCAATTAAAACCGCCCATGTCTTTGACAGCGGCTCGTGGACGTGGTAAATCTGCTGCACTAGGTCTTTCGATAGCCGCCGCTGTGGCCTTTGGCTATGTGAACGTATATGTGACCTCACCGCATCCGGAAAACTTGATCACACTATTTGAATTTGTCCTTAAGGGCTTCGATGCCTTGGAATACCAAGAGCATGCGGATTATACGATTATACGTTCCACCAATGCTGACTACAAAAAAGCCATTATAAGGATAAATATTACGAGGAGCAGTAGACAGACCATTCAATATATAGCTCCCAGTGATACGCATCTGCTAAATGCCGCTGATCTTCTGTTGATCGACGAAGCGGCTGCCATTCCTTTGCCGTTGGTAAAGAAAATGATCGGTCCTTATCTGGTATTCATGGCTAGTACGATCAATGGATATGAGGGCACTGGTAGATCCCTGAGTTTGAAGCTCATATCCCAGTTGCAGAAGGATAACAATGCGAGGCCGCCACTTAAACTGGAGGAATCGATTCGTTACCAGGAGAATGATGATATAGAAAAGTGGCTTATTAATCTGTTGTGTCTGGATGCCAGTACAGTGCCAAGTATTAGCTCAGGATGTCCAACTCCGGATGCCTGTGAACTGTACTATGTCGACAGGGATGCTTTATTTTCGTATCATAAGGCAGCGGAGGCCTTTTTACATCGCCTGGTCTCCATTTATGTATCTTCGCACTACAAGAACACCCCCAACGATCTGCAAATGATGAGCGATGCTCCGGCCCACCATCTCTTCTGCCTTTTGGGTCCAGTTCAGCGAATGGATGCATTACCAGAGATTTTGGTTGTTATTCAAGTGGCTCTAGAGGGTCAGATTTCTGCCCAGAGCATCAGCGATTCGTTGGGCAGGGGTAAGAAGGCGGCTGGCGATTTGATACCGTGGAACATAGCAGAGCAGTATGGAGATCGAGATTTTCCTAAGTTGTGTGGCGTGCGCATTGTAAGAGTGGCCACACATCCGAACTATCAAAGGATGGGATATGGCAAGAGAGCGATTCAGCTGCTTAAGGATTACTATGCGAGGAAGCACACAAATCTGGAGGATGGACCAGCTATCAATAAGAATGCTAGCAAAGGTGGATACTTTAATAATTTCATTTGACATCTTTAACTCCCTAAATTTTGCCTAGGTATCGAGGAGGTAGAGGAGGAGGAACTAAGTCTACTGAAGGAACAGATCCGTCCACGTAGTCGTATCCCGACACTCTTGCAGCGCCTTCATGAAAGGATCCCAGAGCCTGTGGACTATATCGGCACATCCTACGGTCTCACCTCCGAACTGCTGAAGTTCTGGAAGAGTGCTGGATTTGTACCTGTGTATTTGAGCCAGAAATCCAATGAATTAACCGCCGAACATAGTTGTATAATGCTCCACACGCCCACTACTACGCCCTGGTTAGGCTTATATTACCAAGATTTTCGAAGAAGAGTTCTTAAGTTAATGGGCAAGACGTTCCGGGAGTTCGAGACAAAGCTATGTTTGGCTCTGCTAAAGAACAAATCCGTGGATACGGAAACCAGTGCTCTGAATGTTTTAGATAAACCCATGTTGGATGTGTTCTTCCTGCCACACGATCTACAGCGTTTAGAGAGCTATGCCCGTCAGCAGTCAGAATTCCGATTGATTATCGATCTGCTCACAGATATTGCCCAGCTGTATTTCCAGGGCAGGATTGAGGGCTTGCAGCTTGATCTTGTACAGCAAGGAATACTTTTGGCTCTGGGCGTCCAAGGCAAGACAGTAGATGCTTTAGGGCTGGAGCTCAATATGCCGGGAAATCAATTGTTAGCAAAATTCTTTGATGCCATGAAACGGTGCAATCAATGCTTCCGAACAGTTATAGAAGAACATATTGAAGGTGGAATGCTAAAGGAAGCGGATCTGCCTAAGGGCGAGGAACTTCAACCGCTTAGCCTTTCGCTGGACAAGGAATTAGATCAAACCGCCCAGAAGCTGAGTAAGCAGCAGCGCAAGGAGCTGAAGCGGCTAAAGGCCGAGCAGCTGGACGAGTTCCAGATCAAGGGCAGCGAGGAGGACTGGTCAAAGGCGTTGGAGACCAATGGAACAGGCGGTGGCAGCGGGCTGCTTTCCGTCAAGAGGTAGGTGCGCAGATGCAGTGCGTTTTACCACCATAAAATATCGGAAACATAGTTAACTCCCATCTGCTGTCTCTTTCTCTTTAGTGGCGTTAAGCGACTAGACGGACCAATCGAGATGCCCGAGGATCGGGATCTAGCCGCACCACAATCCAAAAAGAAAAAGAAGAATAATCCAAAACTGAAACGCGGTCAGGGCAAGTCCCTGATCTAGAAACCACATTTGTTTTTTGGGGGAAAGAAGAATGTGGATTTTAATGCTATAGAAAAGTACATATTTTTGTAAGCTCCGTTAAAAATAAAGAAACCTAATAACTGAACCTATATCTTGATATCGGCTGCCGCTTTGGCTGCATTGGCGGCCGCTTTGCGCCGATCCTTGAGGTCCTGATAGCTGACACCCGGCTCCTTGTGGCTGCTGCGCTCAAAGCGCTTGACCTTAGCCTTCTTGCGGTTAACCAGCTTCGTAGTAGGCAGCATATTGTTCCGTTGGAGCGTGTGGAAACGATCCTTCAACAAACTGCTCTCTGTCTTCACGTTGCGCAAATTGCCAGCCACATCTTCTGGCAGGTTTACATCGAGGTCTGGCTCTTGGAACTTATGCTGCCCCAGCCGTTTTGGCTCAAACTTGGCCTTCTCGGCGCGTTGCTTGCGCCGCTTCTTCAACTCATTAAGATCCTCCTCCTCGTCGTCGAGCTCGTGGCGAATGGATTTGATACTACAGGGGAAAACAAATTACGGATTAGAAATCCGAGCCTCTGTGATCTAGTTTTATGATATTCTTACCGTATCAGATCAGCAGTCTGTTGCTTGAGTTTCCTCTTTAGCTCTGTTTGGCGTGCCAGTTCCTTTTGCTTAAGCTCCTTGCGGCGGGCTTGTTTGCTCTTCTTCTTGTTCTCCACAGGAGCATTGATCGTGTGGTAGGGCTTATCCTCTTCTTCTTTATCTCCTTTTGTCTGGTTTGCCTCATCCTGTTCGCCTTCCTCCTCGTCGATTCCCTGACTCATTTCCTGCAGGCGGCGACGATCTCTTTCCTCGGGTGTCACCTTGGAGAACATGCTGGTGGTGACGCGCTTCAGGTGCTGCTCCTTCTTGATGATGCCCTCCTCGCGCTCCACAACCTTCGATATCAGATCCTGGTGATCCTCCGGCGCGGGATTATAGCTCATACCAGGATGCGGAAGCTCAAACTTCCTAAAGGAACAAGGTGAAATTAATAATAGCCTTAATGCCGAACAAATGAAATCTCTAGAATGTGAGCTTACTTTGCTTTGGTGGTTTTGTGGTGCAGACTGGCATGCGTTTTTACCACCTTTTTGCCAATATTTGCTACTGTGTGCAATGCCAAATCGCGACTTATCCAACCTTTTTCATCCTTCAATCCAGGAACTGCGTCACGGAAATCAACCTCCTCCCAGATATCTTTTTCGATGGCTAGCTTCTTGTTTTTCTTGTCGGTCAGACGCTGCTCCAGCTTTTCGTAGTACTTGGAACGATCGCTGTTGGCCTGACGATGGCGCGGTTTGGTGGGATTACAGACCTCCAGCTCGATGTTGCGGCCGTTCTTCTTTTGGCGCACATGGTTGCTATGGAATAGAAAGATTCATGATGATATTCTGCCAGTAGATGGACACACGAATCGCCTACCGCTTGGCAATTGGATCTTGGACCCTGGATGTGTTCTCCAATGCCTGATGGCTACGCATGGGTTTCTGCGCATTCAGCTTCCGCTTTTGCTTTACGCTCAGAACGGTAGCCTTGGATTTTTGAGGGCTAGAGTCCACGACGAAGAGATCTTCATCCTGCTTATCCGTGAATGTTCTGTAATGGAAATAATATCAAATTGAACGATGGATTTCCACATTTGTTTACCCGTTTACATACCCAATACGCTCCTCCTGGCGCTGATCTTCGAGAAACTGCTCCACATCTTGAATATCTGTCTTGCGCCATGCCGATTTGTTCTTCTTCGAGATGCGCTTCTTCTTCGTTGCTGGCTCTACGGCCGTCATTGCTCCGAAATATTTGAAAGTGAAATAAAAATAACAAATTCAAGTGCCAAAGCGGCACACGTGCAATCTGCCAACGTTTTACAACACGGCAAAGTGACGGTGTCCAACACTTAGTCGCTGGTGCAGTCAGATGTTTAGGGATGGGATAACCAGAAACTAAAGATGGACATTTAAATGGCCAAAGCTAAAAGCTAACTATTTAATCAATACCATTAACTAATTGGCCTATCCTCGTCCCGCCCAAAAATGTATCATATCAAATCATCTAAATTTAAAAATTTTAAAACTAATTAGCATTTGTATTAAATTTCAAAGTTTAATTACTCCCCCATTTTCTAAATTTAGATAATAAAAGATGATTATTTTGTGTTAATTACTGCAATATCTGGTTTTAAACAAGCTGGAAACAGTTTATAAACCAATAATGGCTAATTAACCTGTTAAGCACAAGCTTACACATCTCTAACCACTCCTTCGGTGACATTCAAAACACTTGCTTGTTTGTGTGAGTTGAGCTACAAAGCAATTGGCGAGCGTTTTAGAACATTTTTAATTTATAATTCAATTTATTACCTTTTTGCGATTCTGAATTGAAATATCAGAAATATCAAAAGCGGCGAGGTGGCGGTCAAAAGGGCAAAGCTATAATCGTCACCAAAATCTCACGCATTGTGTGGAATATAAAAAAGGCCGGTAAACGCTGGCAGCAACAGTGACTGCGGCAGAGACAGAGGCAGAGACAGCGGCTGACGTGTACCAAACAAAACGCGGTAAACAAACTGTCCTACCTTTTTGTTTTTATACCCTTGCAGAGGGTATTATAATATTTGTTTCCTGATTTACTTCTAATAGTAAACATTGATAATGTATTTTTAATTTAGTAATGTTATAAATCCTAACGATTAAACGTCGTTATCCCATAGTTTCGATTAGAAGTATAAATTTAAACAAGCAATGTATCTTTGTTAATACAATTCGTATTCAATCTTATTCAAGATTATATATTTTGCAAGGGTATTCAAATATAGTTCTATGGAAAGTTTTCTACCTAACATTTGTTTCTTTCTATTTTTGTTTTTTTTTTCTTTCGATTACGCCGTGTTATCGCTCAGCTGAAATAGTTTAATTCGTTACAAATAGCAGATCGTGATCTCTGGGAGCAACAGACATAATTTGAACGCCACCGCGACGATGAGCACCTTTCCTAGTTTCGCGGACATTTCGGCCAAATTCTCGGAGGCCACGCTGGACGAGATTATCCGGAATGCTGGAGGCACCAAGCATACATCTTACAAATTTGGACCAAGTGGCAAAAAGGGTGATGCCTATCTAAGTCGTGTCTTTCGGATCACTATTTTTGGTGTTAAGGAATCGGCAGGCCAGGATGAGGAGCAATTGGAGGTCAGCGTGATTGTAAAGGCAATGCCCGACAATCTTCATCGAAGGCGTTTGTTCCGTTCGGTGATATTCTTCCGTAATGAGATTCACTTCTATACCAAAGTTGTACCGGCTATTGAAGCCTTCCAGAAGTCCAGGCAGCCGGCTCCTAAAAAGCCATTCGTGGAGTATCCACGCTGCCTGGCTAGTTTGTGCGATGGAGTTAATGATTTTATTGCTCTAGAGGATGTGGGCCCGAGGGGCTATAGGGCACCTGTGCGGTGAGTTGCTTATATTTTTGCTTTTACTTATTTATGTACATGAATTTTGTGGTTCATGTCTGATCTTTTTTTCTCACTAAAAAAATATTAAAATTAATAAACATTTGCTGTTTATTGTACTACGTTTAAATGTCATTGTCTAAGGACAAGATTGTTAACTGATAGACAAAGTAAATATATAATCTAATGCTCCATGCAAGCATTGTCTTATCAATTAATAATTCTTAAAATCAAGTATTGCAATGACTACTTAAGAGTTAATAAATTTGCAAATTCATGTTAATATAAAAATCACGAAACCTATAAGCACTCTCTAAGCCCAGCTTTTCCTCTTTCCAGCCAAGACTACATTTCTCTAGAGGATGCCCTTCAGACATTGCGTAGCTTGGGTCGTTTTCATGGCGTGGCCTTGGCTTTCAATGCCTTGGATAAGGAGAACTTTGAGAAAGCGGCAGGATCGCTTGAGGAAACCTATTACGGTGAACATACCCGTGAGTGGTACACCGGTTTCCTTCTGCTTGCAGAGAATGTCGCCAAGGATGCCATTAAACAGATTTATCCGAATAGCAAATACGAGACAATAGCTGGAAATTTCCTGCAGCCGCCGCTCTTCGATGATCTGATTAACCTGGTTTCCACACGCTCCAAGTTGACTGTCTTTGGACACGGCGATTGTTGGACACCCAACTTTCTGACCAAATACAATGAACAAGGACAAACGGAGGATATTATCATCATTGATTTCCAGTTGGCCAGGTGCTCGTCGTTGGCCCTGGACCTAAGCTTCTTTGTCTACTCATGCACTAGTCAGGAATTAAGGGAACAGCACTACGATAAGTTGCTGCGTGCCTACTTGGAGAGTGCCCAGGAATTGATACATGATCTGGGTGGCAATGCAGAGGCAATCATCTCGTGGGAATCATTGCAAGAGGAGTTAAAGAACTTCGGACGTTTTGGCTGTGGAATGGGTATTGAATCACTGCCGATGACCATGATTGAGGATGATGAAGTGGCGGATCTGGATGGAATTAAGGAGAACGCCATTCTCACCGACGTCTGGAACATCACGCCGTTCAAGGAGCCAGCCAAGCAACAGCGTTTGGCTGATATCTTCAAGCATGCCATCGACCAGGGCTACATTAAGTAGGAAATCGTAGATTATGAAGTACTCATTGTTTTTTCTATGATCAAACCGAATTCATCAAGTATTGGGAAGTGTTTGTTTTGTATCCCAAATGTATGTACAAAATATAAATCCATATTATTAAAAGCATATTTAAAAAGCAAGATATTGGATTAAAAACAAATTTTTATGGGCAATAACTGATGAATAGAATAACATAGACTGAAAGGTATGTACACAGTGCTGTCGTGCTGGGAGCTAAAACTAAGTTTGAAGCTACCAGTTTTCATAGGCACTGCCCTTCGTGTAGGACGCACCAGTGCGGAGTCACGGCATCCGCATGGATTCCTCGGGCCAGTAGTCGCTCTCGATAGCGATAGAACCTTCTCTGAGCCAGCATGGCTGAGGATTTGGGATTTGACCACAGACGCTCTGCTGCTGCTCCAGCTCGTGGCCAAATGCGAGACTCTGAAACGTGTTAGATGTTGTTTAAGGGGTTTGTTTTTTGGTTCATTCCTAGTGTTTACTTACCTAGTGAGTTCTGATCCACATACTCGCTCCACATGCACACCTCGCCTCCAAGAACCTGATCCTTACTGCGTCCAACGGGCATGCCACTGGAATACACAGTTCGCCAGTTGTAGTACGAAGTGCTGCCCCAGAATCCATGGTCAAGATACCAGGCATTCTTCGTGGACACAATTAAGCGGTAGCCCCGCTGCAGTAGCTCTCGATTGAGAACGTCTTGCGATTCCACCCATGTTTGGATAATGAACCGTTCCTTTGGCAAATATGTCTCGATATACCTGGGATTGGTGAGATGGCTGGACCAGATGATCACCGACTTGGGCTCCTTGATGCCCGGATACATGCGTTCGTTGATCTCATCCCAGGCATTGAGGTTTCGCTGATGAAATTGCGACCACAGACGGAGGAAACTCTGCTCGCTGAGATCATAGCCACGTGCCTGCATGCCCTCCCGGATCTCATCGGTGTTATTCCAACAGGGCAGAAAGACCTCATCTCCGCCCATGTGTAGGGTTTCCTCTGGCGCTCCCACCTCCGCAACATCCTCGAAAATCTCTTTTAGCACGGCGTACATGTGATCATTTAGGGGATTCAGCTGACCACATGGGGGCTGCACACAGAATCTTCTCCAGGGTGATTGATTCAAACACACGGACATATTTCCAAGACCAGCAGATGGACCCCATTGCCAGCCATTGCCCGCATGCGAGGGTCCATCGATCTCGATTAGGATACGAATGCCTCGCAGACGTGCATACTTCACTAGATTCAGGGCATCCTGACGCGAGTACGTCTGGGATGAGGAGTATGCTCCGTAGCGTTGCATCTCCGGCACTCTAGTGATTTCAAGCGGAAAACTGTGTGTGTCCACAACATGCCAATGAAGCACATTCATCTTACTAGTCGCCATGGCATCCAAGGTGCTCCTGATAAACTTAAGGGGCACAAAATTCCTAGCCGTATCTAAAAGAACTCCACGATGTGGAAATGCAGGACGATCGGTGATATTGGCAGTATTAACCATTAGCAGACCGTTTGATAGGCTGCCTGTGACCAAATTGCTAAGGGTCTCGAAGGCATGTCGTGCTCCATAAACTGTAACAGCCTGAATGTCCACAAAAGTGGCCGTATCCGTGGTTCGCACTACCAAAGCGTAACTCTCATCAGTTGGCCAGTCGAGGACGAGACTTTCGTGAGCCACCGTCGATCTGACCAGGATTTGTTTGCTATTCTCCAGTGTGCAATTTCGTGTACATTCCTTAAGTAAATTCGAAACGAATAGGCGGTTTGTTTCTCTGAGGAACTGGGTGGCTGCCTCGCCAGGTGCCACCACATGGAAACGCACTTTCCACGGATCGAATCGCACTCGACCGTGTGAAATGGTGCACTCCCTGCCCGTGGGCATGGGCCAGATGGCTCCGTACTTTCCACAGGACAACCGACAATCCCGTTGGCTCTCAAATACCTCCGGTGCATACTGCAGTCCGACCACCTTCTCCGCCTCCGAGGTGCAGATGTCCGTTCGACTACATAGCCATTTTCTGGGAAACAGAGATAGGAATCAAATTGGTAAAATTAAAAACTTAAAATTTCCTTAAACAGATAACATAAAATCCCTAGATTTCAAATACTTCTGTTCTAATACAGAAAGAATGATGGAAAATTTTACAGTTCAAACGATTAGTAATAACTTAGTTAAGATAAAGTTTTTGGTTCTATTAACTAGTGTTATGGTCCCTTTTGAGGTGATAAGGTTAACAAGAAAAGTAATTATAGCCTTGATTCCATTGAAAAAGATAAGATTAGCCTTGCTAATAAATCAATTTCGTTCACTTTATATTAAATCAGTTTAATTGGTTTTATCAATGAAAAATAATTTAGAATGAAATAATAGGAAATTAAATTTCTGTTAATCATTGATACTTTTTTTTAATGTTTTTCACTTAAAAAAATAAATAAATAAAAACCAACCACTTAGTTTAATAAATTTTAGATAAACTGAGACAAGTTTTTAAATGAAAGGTATTCGCGTGTAGAAACTCAATAGTTTCTTTTTACTTTTACAAGAACTTGCACTCTTTTTTAATGAAATTCGCTTGGAACGAAAATAAATTAACATTTTAATTGCCATTTGACACAGTTGCATTTTTAACTTTTGTTTTTTCCTTTAACTTATAAATTTGAAGTCTGTTTTCACTTGTTGCTGTAGCGATTTCCTGTCTAGCAGAGACGCAAACCTGATTGGTTTAACTGCAGATTAACTTTTTAATCCCACTTGGCACAGTTTGTGGGATGCGTTTGTATTGTTAAACTAAGTTAATTTTTTAGAACTATTACAAGGTCATATGTTTCTTTTGGGGATATCCTTTCTGTTCGGTGACAAATATTTTTTTAAATGTTAATGCTATTCGACACAGTAATTTGTTTTTATATTTTGCATTTGGAGTTTTGAAAAAAAAATTGTAAGAAAAAATTTCACTTGTTGCTGATATTTCCTTTCTAACGAAGGCACAAACCTGCTGGAACTGCCACTGTCGACATCGCTGCCGGCGTCATCTGCCCGCGTTAGCGCTGCGCCGACAGCGAAGCAAAGCAGAAGCGAAGCTAATGCGGAGCAAAAGCACTGATAACGGTTGTAGTCGCTGAACCGCATCGTTCCTTTCTAACGGCTTCCTCGCCTGCGCTGCCCGCTTTTATAAATTTTTTGGTATTTGGTATTCGGTATTTTGTGTTTTATTTATTTTTGTTTTTATCTTTTCTTCTGTTTTTTGTATATACTGCCCACACCACCCGCTCCGCTTGCCGAGCACAACAAAACTGAGAAACTGAAATCGAAAAAGCGACGCGGGGAAGTACGAATAAAATAAATCCGGCGAAATTTTCACTTGCAGCGCAGCAGCGGCAGAGGCACCAGCAACAAGCCCAGCTTATCGCCAATTGAAGAGAGAGAGTGCGAGAATAAGCGGCGAGAGAGATTGGATATAAAAGAGCAATACACAGAGAAAAACAGGACCTTTGTTGATAAACTTGAAAAAACATATATTTGTGGATAGATTTGGATGTATTAACCTATTATTATTTTTACTTCAAATATCCTTTGAAAACGATTTATATATAAAAACTAATAATAATTTCAGTTTTTGAAATTAAAAATAGAGAAAATAGTTAAACTAAAAATATCGTTGACATTTGTTGATTTATTTTAAAAATGGGATCCTTATTATCATTTAGCTTTTATTAAGTAAACTAATAACTATATGAAACTGCCAAAAATTAGATATTAATCTTGACTTGAAGTATCACAGAATATTTTTGGAATATCACAGAAATCTACCATGCAACTTTTTTGCACGTGTAGAGCTCTGAAATCAGCATATCCCCCCACTCTTTGGCTTTAAACCCCACCCCCTGGAGTGTGGCCCACATACGGAAGTGGTGGGGTGAGTGATAAAATGGAAAATATATGTAAATATCTATGTACATACATATGTATATGTACGGTGCAAGAACCGCAACAACAACAAACATCGGGGGCTTGAAAAAGTGCCAGCAAGCAGAACATGGAAAAAGTGAAATAAATTTAAACAAAATACGAAAGTTCACTACAAATTTATATTTAATATATTTTAAGATTAAAAAATATTGATATATAAGAAGAAGACGGGCACTGTAATTAAAAATGTTGTGCAGGTCTTTTTAAGGGCAACAGGAAATCTGTTTATTGATACGGTAAAGCATGACTATATCTATCTATATATTTGCTACTGGAAAAAAGATAATTATAAAAACTTATCAAAGTGATTAACAAAGGAACTCTGAAAGAGTTGTTTCCCATCTTATGACCTATTTGTTGATAAACAACTTTCATTAATCAAGTATTGGTCTTATCCGTTTTCGTTTATTCGTTTAACACGTATATTTACCACGTTTGCTATTTTCAAGTACGGAAAATCAGAAATTCTCTGTTAAGAATGATAAAGTTATATTGTAAATTAAAAGGTTGTCAAAACGTATGCGCAATATATGGTATATCAGAAAATATTTAAACAAATAAGTATTTTTCAAATGATTACAAAACAAAATCCCCTAAAGATACAAAATAAAATTGGTACTTTTTGTTTTATCTTCTTTGTTTCTCAGTTTGGCTTGTTTTCGCATGTGTTTTCATATCCGTCACTCTAAGATTAAAATGGTATAATGTATTAAATGAAAAGTTTGTAATAGCCCGAAGAGTTTCTAGCCCTATAAGGTACTATATATATTCTTGATCAAGATCAGGATCAGTCTCCTGTCTGTCAGTTCGTCCGCCTGTCCGACAACTGACATATCATCATATCACGCAAACGAATATGGAAATGGAAAATTAAAATGGAAAAAGGAAAATGCGAAGCAGAAATGGAAATGCGAAGCTTAATAATCAACCAATCCCGAAAGGAATCTGTGACGATAAGGAAAATGGGAAATTTAATTTAATTAATTTTAATATATATTTAATTAATAAAATTAAAGAACTACTGTAGTTTTCTTGAACGTAATAATATTATTTATTATTGTTATTATTATTATTATTTGCTGATCGCAGGACTTGGCCTTGGACTTACATTTTCTACTAATCATTTATTTCATTTTTATATTTTCAGGAAGACGTGAAATGTTCCTCAACGAACAAGTGGAAATATATTTGATATATTTCAATAATTAACCCTCATCTTCAAATTAAATGAAATAAAGGTAAGTTCCATTAAATAATAATAATATATGTATATTTTTCTAATGCTTAATTTTTATATTTTCTTTCAGTAGTGAAAGTGTAAAGTGAATATATATTTGCATATGGGAAATATACGAAAAATATATAAATTTAAAACGGAAAACAATCCCAAACCTTCAAAATTATGGAAAGTAAGGTAGGTGGCAATTTTTTATATTTTTTCATTGATATTTATTTATTTATATATATTATTTTATCACATATTTATTATTATATCACATATTTATTATTATATCACATATTTATTATTATATCACATATTTATTATTATATCACATATTTATTATTATACCGTATATTGATCTAAGTTATTGAGTAGGGCATAAGTCAGAATCTATAGTCGGTTCTATTTAGTCTGACTGTCTCTCTGTCTGTCTATCCGTCTGTCCAACTATTCGTCTGTTCTACTGTCCGACTATCCTCCTGTCCGACTATTCGTCTGTCCGTTTGTCCGTCCGTTCGTCTGGCAAAGTAAACATAGAAAATAGGAAACCGGAATGCAGGGCTAAAGTAACTACTACTAGTTAGTAGTAACTAATAGTCGAATATATTATTTCTTATTATTTCATATACAAATATATAAATTATATATAAATACAAAAGCGATCATTTGGTAAGTATTTATGATCACATCAACACGCAAAAGGATATGGAATTTGATATGAGAATGGAATATGCAAATGAAAAAGGAAAATGTAAAGTCAAAATGTAAAATGGAAATACGATGCTCAATAATCAACCAATCCCAATACCAACTTTTGACGATTAGGGAAATGGTAAATAAAGGTACGTGGTCCAGAAACAACCTACAGGTTTTTATATTGTCATTTGAATTATATAATATATTTTTCTAACGCTATATTTTTATATTCTTTTTTTTCAGGAAGAAGTTAAATGGTCCTTCCGGACAAGTGGAAATATTTTTGATATATTTCAAAAATTAACCCCCAACTTCAAATTAAAGAAAATAAAGGTAAGTTACTTTTCATTATACATTATATATATATATATTATGTATATGTATGATATGAATTTATGTATCTTTTTCTTATGTCTTTTTTACATTTTTTTTTTCAGTGAAAGTGTAAAGTGAAATTATTTAAACAAATATGAAATGAACGAAAGAAAAATTAATATGGAAATTGAAAACGAAAATCCGATCTTCAAAATTATGGAAAGTAAGGTAGGTGGAAATTTTTTATATTTTTTCATTGACATTTATTTATTTATATTTATTATCATACCATATATTTTTTATTTTACCCTATATTTATTATTATATTTTATATTTTTTATTATACATTATGTATCTTATTATATTTATTAATTCTTTTATTTTATTTTATATATTTTATTATACCTTATATACATATATTTCCCCTTTTCGTTGATCTAAGTTATTGACTAGGTTATAGATCAAAATATATACTCGGGTCTATAAAGCCATGTAACTCTGTCCGTCCGACTGTCTCTCTGTATGTATGTCTATCCATCTTTTTGTCTGTCCGACTATTTGTCTGTTTTCTTTCCGTCTGTCCAACTAGTGGTCCTTCCAACTACTCTTCTGTCCGTCTATTTGTCTGCACGACTGCTCTTCTGTCCGTATGTCCGTCCGTTCGTTTGGCGAAGTAAATATATAAAGTAGGAAACCGGAATGCAGGGTTAGCATAGTAACTAATAGTCGACTATAGCCTTTCTTATTATTTCATATACAAATATATAAATTATATATAAATACAAAAGCGATCATTGGTAAGTATTTATGATCACATCAACACGCAAAAGGATATGGAATTATATATGAAAATGGAATATGCAATTGAAAAAGGAAAATGTAAAGCCAAAATGTAAAATGGAAATACGATGCTCAATAATCAACCAATCCCAATACCAACTTTTGACGATTAGGGAAATGGTAAATAAAGGTACGTGATCCAGAAACCCACACGTTTTTATATTGTCATTTGAATTATTTCAATTATATAATATAATATATTTTTCTAACGCTTCATTTTTATATTATTTTTTTTCAGGAAGAAGTTAAACAAGTGGAAATATATTTGATATATCTCAATAATTAACCCCCAACATCAAATTAAAGAAAATAAAGGTAAGTTATTTGCATTATACATTATATATAATATGTATATGTATGAATATGAGTTTAAGTATCTTTTTCTAATGCTTATCTTATATTTCTTTTCAGTGAAAGTGTAAAGTGAAATTATTTAAACAAATATGAAATGAACGAAAAAAAAATTAATATGGAAATTGAAAACGAAAATCCGATCTTCAAAATTATGGAAAGTAAGGTAGGTGGCAATTTTTTATATTTTTTCATTGACATTTATTTATTTATATATATTATCATACCATATATTTTTTATTTTACCCTATATTTATTATTATATTTTATATTTTTTATTTTACCCTATATTTATTATTATTTTATATATTTATTATTATACCATATGTTTTTAATTATATTTATTTTTTTTTTATTTTATCTTATATTTTTTTATTATACCTTATATACATATATTTCCCATTTTCGTTGATCTAAGTTATTGACTAGGGTATAGATCAGAATATATACTAGGGTCTATATAGCCATGTTCCTCTGTCCGTCCGACTGTCTCTCTGTATGTCTATCCATTTGTCCGTTTGTCCAACTACTCTTCTGTCCGACTATCTGTCTGTTCGACTATTCGTCTGTCCGACTATTCGTCTGTCCGTATGTCCGTCCGTTCGTTTGGCAAAGTAAACATAGAGATTAGCGATCAGGAATGCAGGGCTAACATAGTAACTAATAGTCGACTATATCCTTTCATTACTTTATATACAAATATATATATATAAATACAAAAGCGATCATTGGTAAGTATTTATGATCACATCAACACGCAAAAGGATATGGAATTATATATGAAAATGGAGTATGCAAATGAAAAAGGAAAATGTAAAGCCAAAATACGATAAAATGGAAATACAATGCTCAATAATCAACCAATCCCAATACCAACTTTTGACGATAAGGGAAATGGTAAATAAAGGTATGTGGTTTAGAAACCTACACGTTTTATATTGCCATTTGAATTATTTTGATTATATATATAGTTTCTAAC